AGTGACAATTTGTATAGAAACTAGCCATGAGGATGCAATTGTTCCCTAAATTAATTGTAAAATATGTGATTAAGGTGGAATGAGGTGGGCAGTGAAATGGCAACAGTGGGCTAAGTGGTAGAGAGTTGGCCCTACGTGCCAAAGATTGTGGGTTCAATCCCAGGACAAGTCAAGTTTTAGAAGCTCTTTTTTCCATTTCATCTTTCTATTAACGAAGTTCGGTTCGTTTTCTGGGTGTAGTTTTGAGGTCATCGGCACATAATGTGTCTCCCTTGCTAAGTATACTAGGATTTACTAGCATCTGGATGTTTTCATTACAGAATCTTTCGCACACGAATTGTGATTAGGTACATTGTAGGGTACATCAGGTCTTTAGACGTACTCGTGTCTTTGCAATGTGCAGAGCTTGCGAGTGGTTCTAATTCCACTATAAACTGTAGGTCTAACGGGTGTGGTACAATAGATTCTGTTCTAATTTAAATCGCAGTGCTTCCAACTCTGCAAAAAGCTGGGCCCTCTTCATGAAATAACCTTTTTGAATGGAGATAGCAAATGGGTGTAAAATGCTGCTATATTACGATTCGTCATAAGCAAATGACCCAAAATGACTCGGCAAATCAAATTTCAAACTCTAATTTCATACGTGTCAAGCAAAAATCCTCCCCAAATCACAAATCGTATTTCCTTTAATCAACCGGTGATCAAAACTCAAACAACAAAGCTCTGCAAAAAATATAGTGTCTGAAACAACTTAATTTGCAATCCTCACACAAATCATGATTTATGATTAAACATCAATTTAAATTATTTGTTCAATGAAAGATTATAATTTTTCTCACCTTTCTATCTACTCGTGCTGTGTCACCTTTCATTGCGCAAACATAATAAATAATTTTTTTTTCTTCTCTCCATTAAACACTTGTTGATTGTGTAGTGCTACACTTTCCATTCCTTTTTGACACAAAAAATTATGATTTCGTAATAATTTTTTTTTGTGCTTAACCAAATTAAAAATTCAAATGCTGCAGATGAAATCAGATTGAATGCCAAACTATGCATTTAAAATATAATGAGGAACAAATTAGTGCGGAAAAATATATTTACAATGACTATTCACTCGATTCCATAAAACGCCCAACTGTGGTGAATAAATTCTCATTACAATGAACATAAAATTGACAGATTGGGAATGAAATAAAAAAGAATTGAAAACTAATTAAATTTCAGTATTCATCCGAGAGAGAAATTGGTTTGCATTGAAAACAGAGTGGATTTGCGCATTTTCCCATAGAAAATTTCATGAATAATAGCAAGTCATATAGACAAAATAGCATCAATCCACCCTCTCTGTGAATCCATCATTCAAATTACTTTACAGAACACATACAATCCTGCCTACCAATATTCAAACTTAATGAGATTTAATGTGTAATAATTAAATCGTCAGTATGAATTGTATTTAATTAAATGAAAGGCAGGCGAGAATCTATTAACTTTATGTTCAACCCATGTCAACCCTATCGCTCATTCTTTTCATGTGTATCTGCCGATTTTTAGCGTTAAATGAATTTTTGGTCCTATCTTCCTCATTTCACTTAAAATTCATCGCCAGCATTATTTTTACAACTTAATAAATAATCCAATCAAGTCATTAAAATGTGCTCTCATTTGACACGTCCATAGAATCTTCTCGTCATGAGGATTAAGATATATTCTCTTTTATATTTCCATCAAATCCCAAATTAAAGTTAATGGCATGTCGACCGCCAATAATAAATACACAAAAAAGGAATTAGACGAGCAGGAAAATCCAAAAAAAGATGAATCACTTGAATATTCATAAATTTAGTGCACAATTGTCATGCTTTGAAGATTTAATGTCAATCAAAAGTTTTGGCTTCGATATGCATTAAAATTTTTCATAATAAAGATTAGAGTTTAATAGGAATGGCGTTCTACTCACATGGCGAGACTGATTGATTCTAATTAGGAGATTATTGTTATGTTCTGAGTTGGAATGTGAGTCATTTAAGGTTTAATAGAAATCGCTTTGAACTTGACTTTTTGTGGCTGACTCAAAAAAGGTTTTGAGAATTTAAACTTTCGTGCAAATATTCACATCGCGTTCAAAAATGCAAGGATTTTTCTTGAAAAACTTCCTACGAAAATGCCAAAACACCTTATAGACCTCAAAGGCATGTGTCAGGTATTTAAATTGCGTACGTGTGGCACGACTTATCATTCAAACTTAAACACCGTCCATATTTGTCGTCACAACGTATTTTTATTTTAAAATGTCTAAATAGCTGATAAATAGACCTCTAATAAACTCAGCATGGCCTCTCATTGCTGAGTGATATTATTAGCTGTTATTATCTGGTTACATAAAATAACACGTAGCATACCTTGAGTCTTAAGTCTGGCGAATTAAATGACTGTTATGTTACAGAATGCTCCATATTAATATTTATTACTGACTAATTTCATTCAAGTTGAACTGCTTTACACTCCCCTATCTCTCGCGCTGATCGATTAAATCTGGTTAATTTTAATAGCTTGGTTTTTGGAATTTTTCAAAGCTTGATAAAAAGAGTCTTTAGAGCTAAGTGTGACTGAATGTCCATGATTAATTAATTAACTCGAATGGCACAAGTAGATTAATCGATCAAAAATCCGGCAACAAGCAGGTGTGAATCTGGCATGATGCTAGCTTCGATTTGAATCCAGCACCATGCCAGAGTCATGCCAGCTTGGTTTCGGATTTCTATTTCATTAACTGATCTGTGCCATTCGAGTGAAAGTTCGATTTCCGAATCTGAATATTATTATATGATTAGGATTCTTCATTTATGGCGATTATCAAAAAGTTGGATTTTCGTATCCTTTTCGTACCCTCTCTTTTGGTTTGAGGTATCCCCCCCCCCTCCTTACATTTTTCCATACAAAAAAAATTTTTGGTCCCCCCTCTTCAAATTCTTCCTGGCTAGACCCCAGGTGCAAATTCCATTTGTGACTTTATCAAAAGTCACATATCATCTCGAAAAATTAATTAATTTTGATCGTAAATTTTACAAGCAATAATTCCGATATCAAATCTATCCTTGATTCTTATCACAGCCCTAAATCTAATTTCGTTATAAATGTCAGAAGCATTGTTGAGGTAGCAATTACACTGCTGCTGTAAACTTCAGTATAAAAAAAAATGCTGTATCATATCTCATATATGAAAACATTTCATACTGGCTTACTTTTTCTATAAATTTAAATTCATTTTTTTTAAACGAGTGTGTTTTTCTCTCTCAACATTTTTTTATTGCCTTAGATTCGTGAAAGCCTATTAATTTTTCATGGCTTATAAATAATATAAATGCCGACACTATATGTGCGATTTATAATGAAAATATTTAAATCATTTCAATATTGCATAAAATATTTATTTTTTTAAACTCAAAAACTATTTAAAATTCCATAACGTTAATAGTTTGAAATATAAAATCGAAATGAGATTTTGAGTAAATAATATTTAAAATATATTGACAGATTTCGTGAATATTTTTTTTCAGTTTTATTTCATTTCGCTGAACGACTTGATTGATTTTTATGTACATATTCAATATTTACGGAATTACGTTCGTGATTTATTAAAGAATCGTGGTTATTTCATGAAATGAACAATTGTTGAAACAAAAACTTAATAATTGCATGCTCGCTTTTTTGTTGTGTTCTCGTTAAATTCAAATATGTGCGCGCCCGCGATTCAATGAACCTGATGCATGCCGCGCGACCTTCTCCCCGTTTCCAACTGTTTAAATACACTGAGTACACTCTCGATTGGAGAGAGAAGAAGGAGATGGAGGAAAAAAAAATGTCGCAAATGCATGACATGATGGAAATGAAGAACAAGTGTTGGGAACGATGCATGATTGTGGGTGAGAATGTGACGCATAAATGTGATTCCTGTGGTTATTTGGGGGAGATTTTTGAGCTGATATATTAAAGCTTTTATTTTGTGTTACTTCTGAACTCACTAGTTGAGAGCCTAACTGAAAACATTGTAAAAGAATGCTCAACTTAGTTGTAAATTCCAGAGACAGACTGAAAAGCCACAAGTTTAGCCGTCCTTAAACTCAAATGATGCTAAGTGAATGACTAAATAGAGGTTTCAACGGCATTTTGAGCTTCTAGCCCTCCCCCTCATTTGTGACTGAATATATGTTGATATTTGAAAATTATACATTTTTTACGTAAAATGTTACGATATACAATCTTTAACGGCACGACATGCACAGGTATTATTAGATTTTTTTTTCCTTTCATTTTGACATTTTTTTTTTATTTTATTTCAATTCTTTTACTTCACTTTCTGACAAGTCATGTGTGGCACACATTTTTTATGATCCGCGATAAACTACGGTTGTGGTGTACACGATATGTTTGATACTGTGAAATAGCGCTGTACACGGTGAAATAGAAAGGTGAGTGAGTTTATAAGAAAATATTTTGAACTTGTTCTTGTAAAAAATTTTTGTCTTGATACAAAAAAAATCCGTTCTTCGCTATATTAAGCTTGTTATGTCACAAACAGATGATTTGAATTATACTGAGATTGCAACTAACTGTGAACAATATTTTAATCTTTCTATAAATTTTTGGTATGTGTCATATATGGAAAATAACAGAAAAAGAATGAGGAAGAAATTCGAATGCGAAAGATTTATTGCATGCGATTGACAAAAAGTCGTACGTGCGGAATGATTTTTTCTGTCAAAAACGATATTTCATTCTTCAGTGCACGGAATTGATTTTTTGATGGTGTAATTTTGTGAGGATTTTAGGCAGGTTTCTGAAATATTGATTTTAATCAAATTATTGATTTTTTTGACATTTTTGTTATCAATTAATTGACTTCATTATTTGATAACATTAGAGCAACAACTAAAAAACCTTATAAAGTGATTAATTTGTTTAATAATATTTGTATTGGAAACAATCAAACTTTTAATGCAGAAAACTCTTTATTTCAATTTAGAACATCATTGCTGATCTTAATTTTATATATTAAGAGTTCATCAACGTGGTAGACATTAATTTGTTATTGATTTTTATTCAACAACGCCATGGACAACTAAATGATCTTGCTTGGAACCCGAATGATCTTAAATCTCTTCTTGCGATATGTCTTGAACCTGAACAACCTGATCCTGAAAAAACTTGACATTCATATTGGTTATTCAATGAGTTTCCTGTTGTCCATGATCCGCTTGGCAAATTCTCGCACCTTCTCAAGGTACTAGTTCGAGAAAAACAGCCATTTGAGCCACAAAAGCTTAAATGTCCAATTCCAGATGATCCATTCCATTCAACACATTGTAGACTGACAGCTGCTATCATGCCGAATGTTACCATCAAAATTTTAAACATTTTTATAAAGTTTGTGATTTATAAATTGATGCTTGAGTTATAAGTTTAGAGTTCAGAACTTTTACTGATGAATGACCAACATTTGACTCGTTATTTATACCAAAAAATTTATAAAATTATTATTTGTCAATTAAAAAATGAGACTGCAATGATATAATTTGACGCATGTTTAAATTTTAAAGACTGGGTGCTGAAATATTCGTTTGGGATTCACAGTCTGTTATCTATTTGTGTTCTTGAAAATATTCTTGGAAAATGTCTCATTTTTGCTCACGTATTACACTGCAATATAATTGCATATATTATCAGAAATGTTAAGCTCAAACCACATTATATCCATAGCGACATAAAAATATCAAGAATATAAGCTGTTCATCTCCATCTCCCATCACATTACTAATTATAAACTAATTAAGAATCCATACAAGTCAGTTCCTAGAATTGCCTAGTTACACAGCCACGCAAAAAGTGAAAGCAAATTAATAAAAAAGTTTTAATTAAGTTATAAAAGCAAGAACCCTTTCCACTGACATAAGTGGCGTATAGCATACAAACTACGTATTTATCATAAAGCTATTATTTCAGCACCCCCACAGAGATAGGTTGATTCATGATCTCACAGTTGTATATAGAACATTCACATATGGAACAGTAGGTTGATAAGATTATATGTAAGTTGTATCAATTTGTAGTTGTTGGCGTTTGATGGTGAATATAAATTAGTATCTCTGCGATAGAATGGAATTTTTAAAATTCTTTCCCATAAAGTTTATAAATTCCATAATTAACATCGATTATTAAAAATAAATCACCTAATTATAAGATTTTATTTTTTTTTGAACTCGAAAATTTAATCTTGTACCATAATTTGTCTTTTCATCATTTACAAAAAAAATATATACTTTCTTTCATACCCATTAACAGGCGATAATTATTGACAAAAAAAGTTTAAATCCTACTTAAGACTTGTATCTTGAAAAGTTCTTCGTCCATTAAGCACATGAAAAGAGAGAAAGAGAGAATGACTCCTTCACACATATCATCATCATCATCATTCGAAGCTTAATTCTACTTTATAATAAGAAAGTATATTTTATTATATTTCATTCTTTAAGCATTAAATGAATTTAAAATTCAAGAGTTGCGATTGAGAATGAAAAAGGGTGAGGAAGAAGAAAAATCTTCACAAAATGCACTTAACGTTACAATAAAATTATAAATTTTTTTGGTTAATCTGACTTGTCTGACTGTAATGCGCTTTGTGTACGAATACATTTTGAGAAATAAATTAATAAACATATCAACGTTAGGATTTATTACAAGGAGTGGACAGTTTTTTTTTGGAACTGCAGAACCAATATCAATTTTTGAAACCCTTGCTGGTCAAAAATTTTGTGTATTTGAATTGTCAAAAAATTTTAGACTTAACCTTTATGCATGCTCTGGGCACGATTTCTCTACTTCTAAGGTACGTTAAGGTACGTTAAGGTACGGTAAGGTACGGTAAGGTAGGTAAGGTACGGTAAGGTACGGTAAGGTACGGTAAGGTACGGTAAGGTACGGTAAGGTACGGTAAGGTACGGTAAGGTACGGTAAGGTACGGTAAGGTACGGTAAGGTACGGTAAGGTACGTTAAGGTACGTTAAGGTACGTTAAGGTACATTAAGGTACGTTAAGGTACGTTAAGGTACGTTAAGGTACGGAAAGGTACGGTAAGGTACGGTAAGGTACGGTAAGGTACGGTAAGGTACGGTAAGGTACGGTAAGGTACGGTAAGGTACGGTAAGGTACGGTAAGGTACGGTAAGGTACGGTAAGGTACGGTAAGGTACGGTAAGGTACGGTATAGGTCTACCACTGGTACGGTATGTGGTACACTTGGGAAGGGACAGTCCTTTCTATCTCTATCTTAACGCTGAAGGTGCAACTAAATAAACCACAAACTCAAAACCTAAAGTCACCAACCCTCGCAATCTCGTTGAATCATTTTTCCATCGCAGAATAAAATCAATAAAATATCTTCACGAATTAAAATTTTGCCAAAGCTTGAGTATAAAAAAAAAAACGATAAACCATAAATTTTAATGTGATCTTCTCAAATGCAAATAATGTGGACTTGACTGTCACACATTTCTCTGGCAAATAAACGAGGAACAAGAAAAAGAAGAAGAAGCAATAAAGAAATCTTTAAATAACAATTATAAAATTAGAGGATTTAACAGAACGACAGACATGCAGAAGAAAAAGATAGAAAATTTTATATTTTTGCTGCATTTTAAGTTTCTCATTCCTTTCATGACCACATAATTTTGGTATGCACATAAATCCAGTTTGATGTCATTTCCATACACACAGAAAGAGAGTAAAATTAAAAATTTAAATTCCATTTTCACAATTGTTCTTCAAAAAGTAAAGGAAAAAGTTTGGGTAAGTTTGATTGGGGGTTGATGGATGTAGAAGCATTTTTTTAGGTGTGGATTGGCACTTGACTGATCCTTTAAATATGTAAAATTCAGAATTTAGATTACTTTTAATTGGAATTTCCAAATTTTCAGCATTTCAATCAGGAATACTCAATGATTGACCAGACAACCAGCCACAGAGCCAATAAAACAACCCAAACCTACCACAAAACAGGCGTCAAGAGAAGAGAATTTTTTTGAAATCTCCTTCACATTACGAATGCTCTGTGAATATATTTAAACTTGTACAGTACAGAAACACAGAACAGAGGCCTTTCTGGAATTCTCAATTTTATTGTATATATATCCACAATATACTATTATGCAATGTATGCAATGTTTATAGTCTCGTAATTGATATGTCATGCAGTTGGTATCATGAACTCATGTAATTTATTCTCAAAATATGGAATTGTATAAATAAATTTTATTTTAAAGTCTTTCTCTCTCTCATGGCTGGCTAATATTATTGTCGAGTATTTATGCATATAATATTGGACGGAGAAGGTGAATGTCCATTTTACTGGATAAAATGTATGTGCATGTGATATATCTTTAGATATTCGATGTGTGACAATTTGATGATCTTTTCTATAAAATATATTATAATAGGATAGCCAAAGGAGACGATGAGAGCAGCACAAGATGAAAATTAAATGAATATCGTGTTTAGAAAATTTGAGTTGAGACACAAGATGTGCTGGTGTATAATAATTAAACTTTATTGCTTTTCATCCCCAAAAATTAATAGCTTTGAGAGGCTGGGGATTCCATTAAGGTGGAGTCGACATGCTTTGTAATGCTTAATGAGATTTGTTGACTCCTGAATCAAATTAAGATTAAATTCTGTTAGGTGTAATTTTCGTGATGAGACTGGGAATGATTCTGAGGGTCATTAGATTAAATTGAAATTTTTGGGATTTAGTCTGAGTTATTTGATGTGTTTTTGAGGCAGCATAACAGCATTTACTTGTGTTGTTTAATGGAAATTTCAAAAACCTATTAATTTTGAAACTCACAAAATAATTCGTCTAAGTCATGAAGCATGTACCCCCTATTTTCAACAGGACATCCAACAATGTTGCAAGAACAATAATCTCGACTTAAATGCAAATCAATAAGTACCTTAAATGTCGATAAAATTCTCTCTCTCTTTTTTCTTTTTTTTTAAGCATCTTTACCATCATAACTCATTTCCATGTGCATTATACGACTATACAATACGATATTTTGCGGCATAATGTTTCATTTATCATTTTCTGAAAATGTAAAAAGCACAAATTAAATATGCACTTTATGTATATAATGTGAGTATAAAAAACTACAAATCCATTTCTATTTTGTGACACAATGTAGACTGTTCCTTATGCCATTTACTGTGTGTATGTGTAGATATGTTCGGCTAAAGCTTTGAATTTATTTGCTTTTAATTTGACTTCAATTTATGAGCTGAAAGCAGGCAAGCACGTCAACACGATAAAGCTATAGAGCAGGAGTTAAGTATTTTTGATTCTCATCTGACCTATAAATGAGGCAACACAGTATTTTGTGTGTATAAACGTTCTATTTGTTACTAAGTTGCCAAGTTTCTGGATTATTTTAATTGAATATAACATTTCTTTTCCTTAATAGCCTTATAATATTATTATTTATTGTATATATTGAATATTCATGCATGCTTTTAAGTTGCTGCTCATGCATTTGCTGTCACAATGTCATTTTGAGTCATCTTTAAGTGAAAAAAGAGGTTGGAACACTTCTTGATCGTTGAAGCTGAAATATGGTAATTTTTCAATTATAAATGCTAGTTATGGATTCTTGTGGCTTTGTATTGTTAATAAGTAAAGGCTGAATTAATGAGTTTGGCACTTAGAATTGTTTATTTTGAATCTTGAAGTCCAGTGATGTGTAATAGAAGAATTGTGCATTAAAAGTAAACTTTCAAATTCTACAAAGTTTCAAAGCAATAGTTTTTGCCAATCCTAGTAGCTTTATACAAGATAAACTATTTCAAAAATGAGCTTAACTTAAGCTCTTATATGACCATCTCAATGCCAATAAAATAATCCTCATTTGCTCATCCAACTGTCACCAAATACAACAAAAATGCTTTTAAAAATTTGACACTAATTGCATATCAACTTTACTCAGTCCAAAACAGGAGGAATTCTTAGCTGCTTATTCTCTTTTTGCCTATCACGAAGCAAGCATTTAGTTTTGGTATTAAAAAAATGTAGGAGTACAGATGACAGAAATGCATGAGAGATCAACCCAAAAAAGAAGCGGATCTTGTGGTCTGACTTTTATCCTCTTACTGTGGATGATACATGAGATAGTTTGCTGATAGGAAGAGACACTAGCTACTAGGATCGTATGCATAAAGTTCTCTAAATTTTCAAAATTCAAATTTTAATAAAATAAATCAATTAAGAATGCTTAAAAATTTGAAGAAAAAAAACATAAGTTTACCTTATATTCTAGTAAGTTTTCATCTTTAAAACAAAAATTTAAATGTTTTATTAAAAAGTCATTCAAGTTGCATGAGGAGTATTTTAATGCCTAGCAGTTAAAAAATATTTATCATGTGAAAATTTCC